GCACTGCTCACTACTCACTCCTTACTACCCACTACTCAATACTCACTAGTCACTAAGCACTACTCACTACTCCCTAATCACTACTCTATAATCACTACTCATTACCCACTACCCACTATCCACTACGAATTACTCATGCCCACAAATCACTAGCCAGCATCCACTACTCGCTACTCGCTACTCCCTACCCCCTACACAATACTGGCTACACAATTCTCAGTACTCACTACTGACTACCCCCATACTCGCTACTCAATACTCACTTCTCACTCCCCGCTACTTACTGGTCACTACACACTGCTTACTTCTCCCTACTCACGAGTCACTACATAGTCTCTAGTCACTAGTCACTAGTCACTAGGCACTACTCACTACCCACTACTCACCAAATCGCTGCTCACTACCCACTATTCGCTACCCACTTCCTACTACTCACTGGTCACTACTCACGACTCACTACTCCCTACTCACTACTCGTTACCCCCTACTCGTTACTCACTAGTCAATTCACTATTCACTACTGACTACTCTCTATTCACTACTCACTACGCCCTACTCGCTCCTCACTACGCACTACTCGCTACTCCCTACTCACAGCTCACTACCCACTACTCTCTATTCATCACTACTCACTACTCACTACGCACTACGTACTACTCAGTACTCAGTACTTACTACTCACTACTCACTACTCACTACTCGCTACTCACTACTCACTACTCAGTACTCAGTACTCAGTACTCACTACTCACTACTCGCTACTCACTACGCACTACGCACTACCCACTACTCACTACTCACTAATCACTACTCGCCATTCATCACTCACTACCCACTACTCACTACCCAGTACTCACTACTCCCCACTCCCTACTCAGTAATCACTACTCGCTAGGTTCCGACCCCCCGCCCCTTTCCAGCGCCAAGGGGGGGAGGAGGGGGGGGGGTCCAGACCCCCCCCCCCTTCAAGGCAAAACTGGGGGGGTGGTTCGGGCCCCCCCCCCCCTAATGGGGGGAGGGGGGGGGGGGGTCCGGACCGCATGTGGGCCGAATCCCAACCGTCCGGGCCCAATCCCAACCAACTGGGACCAATCCCAACCAGTGCGAAAAGCAAACTGAGCCCAATCCCAACCTGCTTCGGGTAGCCTCACAATAGGATTTTAAGTATAGAGAAGCCCAAGGCGACTGTGAAGACCTGGAAGCCAACATACGTGCCAGAGTTGGAATTGGTCTCAGTTTTGGTCTGCGCACGAGCACTATTTTAAGATGAGCACGAGGGCACCGAAGCGTAAGCAAAACCGCACCGAATGGCATCGATTCTAAACTATGCAAAATGGATCTTCCAATTCGTAGTAGTAGTAGTAGTAGTAGTAGTAGTAGTAGTAGTAGTAGTAGTAGTAGTAGTAGTAGAAGTAGTAGTAGTAGTAGTAGTAGTAGTAGTAGCAGTAGTAGTAGTAGTAGTACTAGTAATATTTCAACTGGTAATAGTAGTATAGTAGTATAGTAGTAGTAGTAGTAGTAGTAGTAGTAGTAGTAGTAGCAGTAGTAGTAGAAGTATGAGTAGATAAGTAGTCGTATAGATAGTATATAGTAGTAGTATGTAGTAATAGTAAAAAGTGATATTATATAAGGTCGAAGTAGTGGTAATCCTGTAGTAGTAGTGAAAGTAGTAAGTAGTAGTAGTAGTAGCAGTAGTAGTAGTATTAAGTAGTAAGTAGTAGTACTCGTACTTAAAGCAGAAGTCGTAGTAGTAGTAGTAAGTATTAGTATCGTAGTAGTAGTAGTCGGTAGTCCAAATAGTAGTGGCAGGAATAGGTAGTTAGTCGTAGTCGTTGTCGTAGTCAGTAGTCGTAGTAAGGTAGTAGTCCGTGGAAGCAGTAGTAGTAGTTGTAGTAGTATAGTAGTAGTGGTAGTAGTACTAATAGTGGTAGTATAGTAGTAGTAGTCGTAAGGAGTAATATAGGTCGTAGTAGTAGTAAGTAGGTAAGTAATTAAAAGCTTAGTTTCGTAGTCGTAGTAGTAGTCGAGTAGTAGTACGTCCTAGTAGTAGTAGTATTAGTAAGTAGTAGTTAGTAGTAGTATAGTAGTAAGTAGTAGTCGTAGTAAGTCAGTAGTAGTAAGTATTAGTGTAGTAGTAGTAGTCGTATACTAGTCGAACTAGTAAGTCGTAGCAGTATGAGTAGTAAGTATCCGTACTATTAAGTGGTGGTGGTGGCGGTGGTAGGAGTAGGAGTAGGTGGTGGTAGTCGTAGTATAGTAGTTAGTTGTAAGTAGATTATAGTAGTATTAGTCGTAGTAGTAGTAGTAGTAGTAGTCTAGTAGTAGTAGTAGTAGTAAGTGGTATGTAGTCGTAGTCGTAGTATAGTAGGTTAGTAAGTAGTAAAGTAGTAGTAGTATAGTAGTAAAGAGTAGTAGTAGTAGTAGTAGCAGTAGTAGTAGTAGTAGTAGTAGTAGTAGTAGTAGTAGTAGTAGTAGTAGTAATAGTAGGAGTACTAGTGGGAGTACTCGTAGTAGTAGTAGTAGTAGTAGTAGTAGTAGTAGTAGTAGTAGTAGTAGTAATAGTAGTAGTAGTAACTGTAGTTGCAGTGGTAGTCGTGGTCGTGGTCGTGGTCGCAGTTGTAGTGGTAGTAATGATACGGATAAATGCAATCCGCGAGCGGGCGGGCCCCTTGGCATGCGAGATGGCGCAGGCCTGTAGGCCAACCAACAAAGCAACCAACCAGCACGGCAGGCAACCAACCAGCCAACCAGCCAGCGAGCCAACCAAGCAGCCAACCAGCCAAAAGACCAGCCAGCCAGCCAACCAGGCCACCAACCAATTGTCAACCAGCCGCGAGGGGGCGGAGCGTGCCGAGAGGCATCTCTGAATAAAGCTGGCGGTGGCGGCACGCACAAATGCAATCCGAGAGCGGGTTTGTTTCGCCACGGCGGCGAGCGGTTGTCCCCGCAGGCAGCTGCAAGGCATCCACAGAACAGATGAGGGCAAGCCTGCCGTGGGATACGGGATGCATGCAAACGCGCTGAATATCCAGTTTTCCCCTGCGCCCAGTACCGTTTCCGAAGAATCCGAAGGAATCCTGAGGAATTCCGAATATCCCATCCATGGTTGTAATTGGTCTCATTTCTGGTTGGAATTGGTCTCATTTCTGGTTGCAATTCGCTCCGAACGGTTGGAATTGGGACTAATTGGTTGTAATTCGCTCCATTTCGGGTCCGGACCCCACCCCCCCTGAAGGGGGGCAGGGGGTGAAGGGTTCTGGACCCCCCCCCCTTTGGTGTATTCAGGGGGATCCACTGGCGCACTTACCAAGATAGCCTCCAAGACGGCCCTGAGCACCCCAAGAGGGCCCCAAGTCGGCCCAGAGAGGCCCCCCAAACGGCTTCCGACGGCGTCAGACGGGCCAGGACCCCACCAAGACGGCCGAAGATGGCCCTAAGATGGCCCACGACAGCCCAATTTCCCATGAGTTTCAGAATGATTGTGGCATGTGTTTTTTTTCGACCTTCCGACGGCCCGAGACGGCCCAAGAGCCCCCAAAGACCGCCCAAGAGGTCCACGACGGCCCCACGAGGGCCCCAAGACGGCCCAAGAGGCCTCCAAGACTCTCAAGATGGCCTCGAAAACGGCCCAAGAGCCCTCCAAGACCTCCTCCAAGAAGGCCTCCAGACGGCCACGAGGACCTTCAAGATGCCCACGTGTTCTCCGAAGGTTTTCCAAACCGATTCGGGGAACACATGGTCCGATAGCTTGGCAGATCTGGCCTCAACGTTCGGCCACATAGGCGCTTGCAAAAAGGCAGGGGGCGGCGGTGATTCGCCCTAGGCGTCTTCGATCGGGCCGTCAATACTGCCAAAAGGGTGCTCGTCGTGCCGCGGTTGAACCATTCTTGGTACTTCCGAAATGTTCCTAGCGGCCGTCGGCGCATCCCGAAGGCCAACCATCATCGAACGGAACCCATCAACATACCGTCATGCGCGGACATTCCGTCTCCAAGACGACCCCGACCCCCGTGGGCCCCTCACACGGCTCATGCTGGCCTCCAAGATTGCGCATGATGCGTCAAAGATGGGTCAAGAGGCCTCAAAGTCGGCCAAACATGACGTCAAGATGACCCCCAAAAGCTCCAAGACGGCCCCAGATGGCCCACGGCCCAAGAGGCCCCCAGTGCGGCCCAAGAGGCGCTGATAATGACACCCTGCGAGGACACCCAGGGAGGACACCTTGGGAGTACATCCAGGAAAGACATCGTAGGAAGACACCCAGGTCGACACCCTGGGAGGGCACCCGGGGAATACACCCCGGGAGGACACCCAGGTTGACACCCTGTGAGGACACCCAGGGAGGACAACCAGGGAGGACACCCTGGGAGTACATCCAAGGATGACACCCTGGGAGGACGCCCCGGAATCACACCCTCCGAGGACACTCAGAAATCACACCCTGGGAGAACACCCTGGGAGGACACCCAGGGAGGAGAGCTTGGGAAGGCCCAGGGAGGACACCCTTGTAGTACACACAGGGAGGACGCCCTGGGAGGACGCCCAGGGAGTACACACTTGGAGGACACTCAATAATCAAATCCTGGGAGGACACCCAGGGAAGACACGCTGGGAGGACACCGCTGACCCCCGTCAGCGCTGACCCCGTTTACGTGAGCCCCGATTGTGTGGATGGCACCGCAATTCCTGATGAGTGCAACTACACGTTAGCCTTCATCACGTTGTAGAGCAGAACTCCCGTTTTCAATCCTTCCACCGCTTCGTGTCTGCAGTAATTTCAAACCAGTTTGTCCCATCCACCTAGAAAACAACGCCGCCGCCAGCGGGGGCGCCGACGAGGACGCCGTCAACGACGACGACGACGACGAAACCGACGACGACGACGCCGACGCCATCGCCTACGCCGAGGCCGAGGCCGGGGCCGAGGCCGACGCCAACGGCGGCCGCCCCGACGCGCGAGGCTGCCCCGGGCGAGGCTGCTGCGCCGCTCGCGCGGGCGCCTCGAAGTTGGGGACCCCGGCGAGCGGGTGGCTCGGGTCCAGCGGGGCCCGCTCCTGTGCCGCCAGCCGGCCGTGGCAGCCGCCGTCGCTGGGCCTCGGTGGTCCTCGTCGCTGCCGTCGCCGTCCTCGGTGGCGGTGGTGGTGGTGGCGGTGGCGGTCGTCGAAATCGTCATCGTAATCGTTATCACGATCGCAACCGTAATCGCAGTCGCAATCGTCGTCGTCGACCTCGTCCTCGTCCTCACCCTCCGCTGAGCCCCACGACAAGTTCGCGGTCTCCCTCCCCGCCTCCCCTCACCTCTTCCTGCTCCTCCTCCTGCTCCTCCTCCTCCTCCACCACCCCCTGTTCATCCTCCCCACTCGGCCCCCTCCGCCTCGAACGGCTTCCTCGCCCACTCGCTCCTCTTTCCGTCTCCTCGACGATGACGACAGAGGGCCAACAAGAGGGGGGCATCAGCTCAGAAGGGGGGAAACATAGAGCTTGGATCGGCGATGCAGCGCAGGTAGATCGGCGTTAGGCCCCCGATAGCGAAACCGCACGTTCCTGTGTGGGCGCTTATCGGCGGCGTGGAGGAAGAGGGGGGCGATGAGCGGAAGTACAGAAGGAGGAGGATGAGGAGGGATGGGAGGAGGGAGGAGGAAAAGGAGGAGGAGGACGAGGAGGAGGAGGGGAAGGGGGGGAGGGGGAGGAGGAGGAGGAGGAGGAGGAACAGGAGGAGGAAAAAGAGGAGGAGGGGATGACAACATCCCGTGTGGATCCACATGTCTGTAGCGTCACCGTCAGGAGGAGGAGGAGGAAGAGAAGAAGGAGGAGGAGCAAGAGGAAGAGGAGAAAAAGGAGGAGGAAAAGGACCGTCGCACAGATGGGGAAAGGTTCGACTGCAGCAGAACTGCTGTTGCTGCTGCTGCTCCTCTTCCTCCCCCCCGCTCGGTTGGCCTGGGGAGGGGGCGGCAGCGGCCTCCTCCTTCTCGGCCATCTCTTGGGCTTGGCGCAGGAGGTACTGGTGGAACGGCATGGGCCGCTCGTACTCGATGGGCGAATTCTTGGAACCTCTCGGATTCCTGCCTTCAAGCAGGAGGTTCCATTGTGCGCGGTCACCTGGTCTGACAAAATGTCCTGCGCACACTGCGCTGAAGGGGCCGCGCATATGATTCAGCGAACTTCCCACACCTCCGACAGACGACAATACACGACCCCCCTCTATGCTGCTCACAGATGAACAGCGAGTGTTCCTGCGGATTGCTGCACAGCTCCGCGAGCGCCTGAGCGTACCCAGGACATGTGCCTGGTTTCTTTGTTGCTGCCCTGCTGCGGCAGTCGATACACAAGAAACGCCACCCCGAGGCCTCCCACCCGTGCCCCATCGGCTCTCGTCGAAGCTGAACGGGGCGGGGGGGCTGCGGGAGGAGGCGGCGGGGGCGGAGGGTGGAGCTGTTTCCAGATCTCTTGGCTGGAAGCCGCCCCTACAGGAGGGGAGACAGACTTGACTGGCTTCTTGTGAGCCTTCTTGGTCTCGCTGGGGCCTATCGGCGGCCACTCCTGTAGGGCGTTGGCGACAAATCTCAAATGCTTACTGAGCAACTTGCACTGTCACTCGTGTTCCCTGGTCTCGGTCTCCGAGGGCCTGTTGAAGCCCCGAGAAGCGATTCCCGCAAATCGGTCGGCCCCGTGGTTGCCCAGGGTGTCGGCCCAGTCTGTCGTGCCGGCAGGGTGGGCGTCTAAACTTTGGTGCGCCTTGGCCTTGGGGAATCTGAGGTTCTCATGCCATCCTATGGCTCCTATTGCGTCGCGAGAGCCCAGTGGCATATAGGTCGATTATGCCCGGATAATCAACTGAAGTATCTGTGATGTTGGGGGAAGGGGTGAGGGCAGCAAGCGCAGCACAGTGCGCAGCAGCATGAGAAGATTGGGTAAGGAGTCGGCCTACTTGGCCAGTCAGAGCGGCGATCACTTCGCATTCGGCATTGGCCTTTACCACTGCCCAGCCTGCCGTTTCAAAAACTCTGCCCCCTGGTCTCAGGGCCGAACCGTCAGAAGAAACCTTGCCCGCTAGGGCAGAGGCTGGGGTAGCCTGGGGGTCCGGGGACCAGAACTTCATGGATCCAAGGCCGAGCCCTTCTGGGGCCCCTATGTCGAATTCTGGTTCGGGCTGAAAACCCGCGGCCAGCGGAACACTTCCTGGGCTGGTAATACTGGCTATTTCTTCTTCTGTGAAACTCTCTGGCCTACGGGCCTCAGTCAGGGGGCAACTCAGGAGACGGTGGGGTAGGTCGTCCGAAGCCGCTCCACACGGACATTCTCCTGTGTGCTCATCGTATCCTGCTGCTTTTAACCCGCTCCTGGTCCAGATAGCGCGTCATAGGTAGGCCAATAACGTACTGCGTTCCATCGCTGATGAACTTGCTGATTTCAAGCATGTCTGAGCGATCTGGCAGTCTAGCTTGGCCCCGTCGAGGCCCATCTTCTCTGCTGCTTCCCGAGAAAGTTTGTTGTCCCACGAGCGTTTGAGGGCTTCCTGAAGGAGGCTGGGTGAGGTGCTGGCGAGGATGTGCCGGTTGCCTTCGGGGTCCTGAACGACGAAGGGGGAGACGAAGGTCCACTGGGCCCGCTCGAGGCTGAGATATGCTGCTCCCATCGGGCCACGACAGCTGCTCCAAACTGTTGGTGGTCTCCATAGCACCGCGTCGGCCATCTGCCTCAAACCTGGCAGGTTGAAGCCCGCAGTGGCTGAACCTGTGGCTGCACGCCAAACGAGCTGACTCCAAAGAAGCACTGGGCCCACAGCTGGACTCCAGCACGGGTCTCCCAAGAGGCAGAGCGAAAGGCTGCGGGGGCGGGTAGTGGTGCCTGGGCCCGCGATCTTGAGATAGAGCGACTGCGACCTGCGAAGCTCCACGTTATCGTTCCCGACGACCCCGGACCCGTAGACATGCGCCTGACCTAGTCCTGTGTTGTACAATTTCCTGGTGTCTCCTTGGGCTCTCTTGGGGCTGGCCAGTCGTCTAGTTCTGGCCTGGAGCTTGTGGTGTCGGGCCCTCAGGGTCGATTTAGAGATTCCTCTAAGCCTAGCTCCTCCTGGTCTGAAGTCGGCGCCGAGGTTGGGGGCCACCGAGACCTTCTTGAGGGGGCCCGCGTACTTGCCGAGCTCCGACGAGGTTTTCCTGGATGTCTCTGGAAGAGGCGAGGACGACCGACTTCTTGTCTGCCACTTGGCAGTGCAACTCGTTCTTGATCGCGCCTAGGAGCTGGAAGCAGGCATCTAGCAGCTGGCTCACAAGCTTCTTCTTGCACGTCTGGAAAATCTGCAACAACAGATCATCAATGAACAGGCTGAGCTGGATGCCAGGGTGCGCCCAAGACTGGATGGGCTGCGTGCAATAGATCTGAACTAAGTAAGTTGCGAAACCGCGCCCTGCTGGGATGCCTTTCCCTGGGAACCCACAGTACTGGATTGGTTGATTAAACGTGACGAACCTGCTGGACTGATACTGATTTATGATAACTGCCAGCACCGCTTCGTTAAAGATGCTACTTGCTGCTCGTTGCTGAAAGCCCCCCCCCCCTGCTGATATGTTCATAGTAGTTAGACATGTCCCATAATACTGATGCTGTGTGCGTCGGTTCTTCTGCTAGGCCCCCTTGCTCTGCAAGAAGATTGTTGAAGCACCAGCTCTAGAATGCTGCGGCCTGCTTGATGCGCCAGGGAACTGCAGGAGCTGTGTTTCCCCCCATGCTCTGGCTTCGCCTTGTCGCAACTTTACCCAAACACAATAAACTCCAGGGAGGAGGCCAATGCCTCTATACGCTGGCCCACCAGTGGTCTTCAACTTCGGTATGATATTAGTAATGATAGCCAGAATCTGGGAGGGCATCGTGCCGAGCTGCTCGATGCACGCCAGTAACTCGATAAAAACCTGCAGCTGCTTGTCTGTCAGCAGCTCGAAATGCTTGGGGTGCATTCCGTCCCAGGTCTGGCATGTCTGATGGCTGAAAGTCGTGATGGCTTTCCTGAGAAAGGATGGCGTGATGATCGGCAGCCTTGCCGCAGCCTCAGGATTTCCTAGGTTTCTGGAAATGGGCGTGTCCTGGATGTCCCAGAGGTCTGAGAGTCTTTCGGCCCCGCCCTCCAGGAGCTTACTTGGCCGTCCAGACCAGCGCCCATCTTTGGCCTTCACTTCTTGGGGTTGCCACGTGGCGTTGTCTTTGGACCATCTGTGGGCCCGCCCAACTCCTTTGGCCATCTGTTCGGTGACCCACTGCTTCCAGGAGGCGGTGGCTTGCTGTCTTTCCCGGGAGCGTTCCTGGTCGTGGAAGCTGGGTACCTCCTCTTGGAACTCTGAAAAGATGTGGGAGGCGCTTTGGCTGGACGCCTCGATGCCCTCCCGCCTGACGTCCTGCAAGAGGGCGTCGAGAAAGCGAGAAAGCGGCTGAACTTGGCGAGCAGGGCCCCCGGCTCCTGCACTGACTGAAACTTCTGTGGCGCGTCCTGCAAGGCTGACTGTGCATCTCGCAGACCTGCCGAGAGACCGATGTGTAAACTTGGCAGCGCGTCAATAACCCGATTAGTTAGCCACCTGAGTGGCCTGGCGTATGACTGTCATCCTGCTCGATGCTTGGGTTATTCTGCTCTGGCTGAAATCCAAATGATCCTGTGTGGCTGGCAAATCTGTCCTCGACTCCTGAGTGGCGTGTCGGTTTGCTGGGCGAGCGATTCTTCGAGGTCCAGGGCGAACATATCGAATGCGGCGCTCAAAGCCTGGTCTTCTGCTGCTCTGTGACTCCTGGCTCCTGTATTATCTGCTGAACCTGCTGTGCTGCTGCGGCTGCTCTGTTCCACTCCTTGGGCTCCTTGGAGGGTCCGAAGGGGCGCTTGGTGGGGATCT